TGAATTGGGAGGCCAAAAGCAGGACTTCGACGTCCGCGATGTTTTTCTTCTCGGGCGGGAGACGAGCATCGAGTGGCGGCTTGCAAACCAAGAGCCCGAAAGTCGAAAGCTCGAAGGCACGATGCGCGGGGCACGAGCCCGGAGATGAGACAGCAGCGGGTCTACGAGATGGCTCAGAGACAGCGCAACAGAAGGCGGTGGAACAGGGCCAACGGCGCATCTGTGGGCTTGTGGGGTGAATAGGAGGAAGAGGTGGTGGTGGAGGAAAGACAAGTCGCTTCCGAGCAACATGCACGTGATGATAAATGCCGAGCCAAACAAACGCACGGACCTCTTGCTACTTTCGTCGGATCCACACACTGAATGTCATGCTGCACTGCCCCAACACCAGGACCTTCCATTGTACTCTATTTCCTCTGAACATATCTGAACCTGAGCCCTTCTCACTCTGTGCTCCACTGTTTCCATACTTTAAGTAAGAATTGTGCTCGGTAGGTGCTGCACGGGCCGCACGGCAACGGCCTGGCCCACGGCCGACCGCACAGAGCATCGGTGAGCACACAAAAAAATTAATCAACACAAGGTTGTATGAGTCCAGAGATTTCAAGCTGATTTTTGATGTTTTCAAAGTAAGGCCTGCTCGGCGGCTGACTGTATAATGTTGCGCTCATGTGGATATGCAGCTGGTCGAAGGCCAGGATCTCAGCTGAGGTATGCAGCTGGAATCTACCCAATCGCTACCTGGGGCCAGTTTTTGAAACTGCTGGTCACCATCTGAGAATGCCAGCTGATAGGAATGTGGCGGCACTTTGGCAGTGTAACCACAGGACTAACATACATCCACAAAATGCGAAAGAAAATTGAGCAAAAATCACTATGGTTATATATTGGAAGTGACAGTTGCCCAACAGCCAGCAAATTACTTGTCTCTATGAGAGATTTTCCCCCCTGGTGTACAATTTGTGTTAGTGCCATTTTCTACCCCGGCTTCATTTGTCATTTGTCATTTTGGGTTTGTATGCCGTCCGCAATGGATCGGACTCGGAGAACGTCTATATGGGAATTGGTTCGGCAGCCTGAGTCCGTTTTCGTTCCTTTCGGACCTTTCCTTGGTGTTCTGTTCATTCCCTCAGTCTTTCTATCCATACAGTGAGATTTCAATCACTGGTACAGAGAGCAAGTTCTGAACTAAGTACTACTAGCAAGTTCTTGGTTCAGATACAGATAGCAAAGTACCAGTTCAGAAATTGGTCTCTGTACATCAGGAAAGATGGGGGCTTTCCTGGCATTAGTTTAATTGCTGGAATCACTAAGCTCCTGAAAATATATCCCTAAGTACATGCACACAATTAGCCCAGAGGACCAACAGGGCTCTTTGCATCTCACAATGATGCTATTTCCAGTCGGATCCAGGACTTTTTATTTGCCATTTGTTCCCAGTATTTCATTATGATCAATTGCCACATCTGGATGGTAAAGTCATAGGGGAAACCAGTGGCACAGTCTGCTACCCAGATAAACCACTTATTTTAATCCCCTCAAATAGACCTTAGATTCTGTCCTCGGTTCAAACACCGCTTTCGACACTGATTCCACAAAAATTGGCCCGAAATCAATCAAAACCCAGAATCGGCCTGAATCGGTGTTTCTCCTCCAGAGGAACAGCATCAGAGTCAACTTGAATTCCCCGTGGTTCTTTATAACATCCAACTTTGATGATGACATAGGCAACCCTCCCGAATTACTGCCAAAATCTGCTGCTGAATCAACTCGGAATCAGCTCTATTAGAGCTCATTCAATTCCAAGAGGTGTCCGATCTCGCTATCAGACCCACCGATCAAAACACGTGCTTTGATTGATGCCACTGAGCAGGAAGGGTAAAATAAATTAGTTTTGGTGGCTCTCCATGAGTTGAGCACCATTGCCACTGCTTTTAGAGTATTCCTCGATTTCTCCTGGAAGGAACGGCTATGTTGATTGAAACATCGGATTTATATCCCAATTTGAAAGCAACCGGCATACGAGATCCAGGGACCAAGAGCATGTTTCGACCACGGGAAGAAAGGTTCAAAGTGCTAAAATTGACATATATACACTCTACTGTATAATTACATTCAATTCAACCGTCACACGTCACTCCCCCCTTGGTCGATGGCGAATATTGTTATTCTGTCACGCGTCACATCTAGAGTGGTTGAATGTAATTTTCGTCACGGACCATCCAAAATCGCGTCCGCGATGCGTAAAATAGAAATTTTTCGCTCTGGTGGTTGAGTTTTTTGGTTCCGTCATGCAAAATTTCGGCCGTGGTCGAATGGTCGAATCGGTATTTCAGGTCACACGTCACCCCCCCGGTCGAATTGAATGTAATAATACAGTACATAGTTTTTGTGGATGTGCAGAAGGGTCCATGGTGTTTAGAGGAGGGGCCAAACACATCATTGTTTGGCCCCCCCTCATCAGCACGTGTTGTTGATACATAGTGGGTCCGATAACGAGATCGGACACCTCTTGTTCAATTCTGTCGTGATACAGCACATGAATCGAATCGTGATTCACGTGAATCGGTTTAGAATTGACTGCAAATTGACTTTGACTTGAATGCCTTGACGGAAGTCCCCTATTGAATACATCCTCATGATTGACAGTGTTGCTAGACTGGTAACTGATCTGTCTACAGGAATACTGTTGGTGTCTACGGTCTATGTCGCTCAAACAGAGCTCAGCCCAGATTCAAGGGTTGAGTGAATGTTATGATATGTCAACTCTGAGGGATGCCCTCAACTTTCAGCAGCATGTACTATATATTGGGAGTTATGCGGAAAGTGGGATGGTCAATCTATTCCCACGCCGTAATGTACTCACCTACCTACCTGATGCTCTTCTCTTTAAACGAGGGTAAAACTGTATTTTTCAACTGGAATTTCAACACCCCTGCCATAGAAACATTCTTCACATTTCTTATCCATTTTTGGGAGGCTTTTCAATCTACCATGGCCCCATTACCGCCATGAACCATGAAACCAGCAGTCGCCGCCGCACCTCGGTGACGCATAACTGAAGTCCAGTGACTTGCATAGCTAAATATAAATTAATACAATGTTATCCATTCCTAAAGATTCAGCTCCCGCCTCGCAGGGGCCCAATCCCATGTCATTATTATTGAAGTTGAACCAATAATCTCGTGACGGTGGGGAAGTTGAACCGTTTTTGGATCGGGGCGTGTGCGGCTGACTTCCGCCTGTATTCACACAGCCACTCAACTCCAGTCTTGCGAACGGATCTGCCCCTCACACCATGGGCCATCCAGTTGAAGACGCCATAAAAGTTTTCGCACCGGATACCTTCAGAATCTGGGTTAAGATAGTGCCACAAACCATGACCTTTTGAACTAACGCCATCACAAATTCTGTTCTACGAGCAGTAGCATCGGAAGACAATGGTTTTCTTATCTGCCTTCTTATCGAAAGACAAGAACACCGCAGGTCTCGTGAGCTCGTGCATGGCGGACCCGAAGGGATGCTACAACTTTCGCAAACAATTACGCGACGCGTTACAATTGCGCGACGCATTAGTCCGATCGCCATTCTGGCGCCCCACCGAAATACCACTTCAACTGGAGGAAATACTGGACATGAAAATCATGGGCGAGCTGTAGATGATGTTAGTTAGCGCAGAGAAACATCTATACTTGTCATCATATATTGGACGTGTATCAATTTCCCCAATTTTTCGTTGGGAGCCTGACGATTGCACGTAGTCGCGCAACAAATATGAAGGATTGCCCGGACAGAAAGGATCGTGAGCGGATAGTACGGGAATAAAACCACTGGAACTGGAAAAATGATAATGTATTAGAACCCAAGGCAAAGCCGGTCCAGGGATTGTCGAATCGATCCTTGACGGTCCCAAGATAAGTAGTAATATAGATGGTGCCAAGGCACTAATTCTCAATGATAGACGAGTACTGGACGGCTCGTCTAATTTTTGGGTTGAAAACTTTTGACTCGTTCGAGCCAAGATTCGAAGGCCTCCTCCTGCTGCACACGAGTCTCTCCTATTAGACGAACGCTTCAACGTGAGAAGCTCGTATTAGACCCCTCCTCAAAGAAACCGCACTTGTTGTTAGTCTCATTCCCGATCGAGTTGACTACAAGGCGGACTGGCGCACATCCACGCGTTATGCCGGATACATCCTACTCCCGGATCCCACAAAAATTTGAATTGCGAACACATAAGAGTGGTTATGGCCGTGGATGGCTGTGGGATTGGCTTGGAACAAAAAGTCGACAGAGGAGTCTTGAATGTAATAGCCCGGCCCCGAGTTGAACGGCGGATCCCACCGCATTATGGACATCGGTCGAAGACGGTTAAAGCGGTGTGGGTGCGGACCGTCCGCCACCGGGCTTTCTTACCCTTCCTTTGAACTCCGGTTTAAGCACGACTTGTGATTTGAAATTTTTAAAATCCCCCCATAGCCCGGCCCCGAGTCGAACGAGGGATCCCACCGCATTCTAGTTGAAGACGGTTAAAGTGGTGTGGGTGCGGACCTTCCGCCACCGGGCTTTGCTAGCCCCCTTTTGAACCTCGATTTATGCAGGACTTGTGCTTCGAAAAAGTTCTCTTTTCTTGGCACATAGCCCAGCCCCGAGTCGAACGAAGGATCCCACCGAATATTCGTTGAAAACGACCCCAAGTGGTGTGGGTGCAGACCGTCCGCCACCGAGCTTTCTTACCCTCCTTTCGGACCTCAATTTATGCAGGACTTCTTGCGATTCGGAATGAAAAAAGTCCTCTTTCCTTGGGCCATAGCCCGGCCTCGAGTCGAACGGGGGATCCCACCGAATATTTATTAGCTGAAAACGACCCAAGTGGTGTGGGTGTGGACCGTCCGCCACAGGCTCCTCTTGCTGTGCTTGAGGACGTGAATTACGATGGACATTGCGCAGGATTCGAGTGAGCTTTGAGACAAAAAGAGCCTTGGCATCCGAAATGCCTACAGCCCGACCCCGAGTCGAACGGGGACCTCCCACTGTATCTCAGATTTTAGTGAGTTCTTAAGATATGTGGGCGCGATACCATCCGCCATCGGGCTCTTCTTGCTCTGGTCGAGGACTTCATCTGTGTAATTCTCTTTCCTGGCTCTAGTTGAGGACTTCATTCGTGCAGGACTGCGCGAGCGTCCATTAATTCCAATCTATTTTCTTGCTCATGCTGCCAGTATGTAGATTTCAAGCTCGTTCAGCACCAACCAACAGATGCATTTACACACATCCTACACCCTAAATTCTACAATAAACAGTACATCCACCACTCAAACGCGTTATATGCCACTGTTTGTACACATTCCGACTCGCGCGTTGGTCACATGACACCCATCACTCTGTCGAGCAGCATCAGCTCGCCCCGTCGAACGCGATACGCAGCGCGTTCTCAAAGTCCGCGACAATGTCGATGATGTCCTCGATCCCGACCGATACATACCTGCGGGGCGCGCCAGCACGCCGCCAGGAAGGGAAGACAGAGGAGGGAGGGAAGCGGGGAAGGGAAGCGGGAAGCGGGAGGGGAAAGACAACGGGGGAAGAGCAGCGGACAGGGAAGAGGGAAAGGGCAAGCGAAACGTGAAGCGGGAAGCGTACCCGAATCAAATCAGGCTGCACCCCACTCGCGCGCTGCTGAGCTGCTGGTGTGTCGTCGACGCGGGGTGGATCACCAGCGTGTTCGCGTCGCCTGTGGACGACAAATGTCTAGTTAGCCCTAGGACATAAGGAAGAGGAAGGGAAAGAAAGGGAGGAGGAACGCACCGAGATTCGCGAGATTGCTCGCGAGCTTGAGGAGGTCGACGACCTTCGATGCATGGGCGGAGTCACCCTGCAATAGCGTCAGCGGCTGCGCGCGCGAGTAGGAGGATGGGCAGAGCGCCTCCCTGATGAGAAAACGCACCTTGACCCCGAAGTTAAGCACGCCGCCAAAGGCGCCCGCGCGGAGGGTCGTGAGGGCGCGCTGGTGCGAGGGGAGCCCGAGTTAGGAGACCCAGACGACGTGCGGGTTTTGCGAGAGGGCGCTGGGGAGAGGGGGCGTCAGCTTGAGTCAGGGACGGGACATATGGGAGATCGGGGAGGGATGAGGAGGGATGGGGGACACGAGGACGGGGAACGGACGCGAAAGAACGCAAAAAGAGAGGATAGAATAAGAAAAGCACGCACGCCGCCAGCGCCGCCGCATTCTCGCAGTGGCGCAGTGGCGCGCTGCGCGCAGGGAGAGTGTATCGAGGCCCTGCATGAGGAGGAACGCCGCGAAGGGGTTGAGCGCGGGGCCAAGGTCGCGGAGCATCTGGGGGTGGGGTGAGTACTTCTAAGCGTACGGAGGATGGCAACAGGGAAGAGCCGCGACCGACGCGGCGCCCTCGAGTAGGAGTAAAGGGCGCAGGCAGGCAGGGTACACCTGCGGCGCGGACAGCAAGGCAATGGATCGTCGGGATACGCGATCCACCCTGCTCGTCCCAAACAGGCACGAAGGCGGGCATGCCTCGTCGCGGCCATGCCCCATCGCAGCCCAATCCCAATCAGAGTACGTGGAGCGTAGGACAACGAGCAAGAGAGGGCAGAAAGACGAAGGCGGAGGGCAGGAAGGAACGGTGGAGGGAGGACGCAGGAAAGAGAACGACAACTAAGCTTGGAGTGTCCCAAAAACATCCGGGAACATTCAAGATTACCTAATAAAGTCCTGATCAAACGCCGGCGAGTTGCCGGCGAGCATCAAGTTTATTTATGAGATCTATCTTACGTCCAGGCCCAAATCGCGTCGTTGCATATGCAATTGTGACAGCCGCATAGTATGGTGTATATTCACCCATAAACCACGACTTCTCTGACTATTTCCTTCTCATATCTCTGGGATTCCCCGCCTTTAACCACCAGATCCCTCTTGGCGCGATCCTGTTGTTCCCAGCCATCGTCTATCCTGCTTGTCCCTTCATTTTCATCACTGCTGTGCGGCCCTCATACTTAGTGCATCTCTGCTCATCTATTTCTCCGTTCGCGTCCACACGCTATGCCGGACAGAACTCGGTAGAATCTAGAGGATTGCTATGTAACACAGGAACAAAGGCCCAGGGCACGTCCACGTTAACTGCCATAAGGACAGTTGGCAGGCAGTTGCGACAGGTGAAATCAATATTTCTTTGTGCCGGCCACCTGCCCTTATGGCAGTTAACGTGGCCTTTGTCCCTGTGTAACCTTTCCTTCATCAGAAACCGGTTAATGTCCCCTTCGTGGGATTACCCCAGATATGGTTGCCGACCCAAGGACATTCGTTTCGAATCCGCTTTCCCGTGGGAACGGCTCAGTTCTGGATCTGTCAAACAGACTAACTTTTTTTGTTTATCAACAAGAACCAAGGTCCATTCCGCTGTCACCGGCATATCATACCCGCGGGTATACCCTACCCCTGTACAATGCAGGGTAAATTGCCGACGCATCGTGGTTCGCTTCCGAAGAGCTGACACTCCACGGATACATTTAAGATATTTCCATCCATTTGATGAAGGGCTTTGCTGCCAGAACAGAAGCGAATAGGAGTTTCCGTCGGGTATAAAACTCAGTCGCACTAATTCTTTCGTTTCGCCTACTCAGACTTTGGATAGCGAACCAAAGCATCATGCTTTTTCTATTTCTCGCATCGAGAATCGCCACAGTTATCAACTACGCAGCATTGGTCTACTCCCTTGGAACGACATGCACCACTCCCATCGGACGGGGCCTGTATGTTCAGGCGCTCTATCTCTTTGCTGTATGTATCTGACATCCAATTAGTGCTGCTCCCGCCGCTCCGTTTTGGATGCAAAATATCAAGCACCAGGGCATTGCCGCGTTCAACCCAAACTCCACTACTTATCAGGTTTTCCGAAACGTCAAGGATTTCGGTGCAAAGGTAGTCCTTCCATTTGTCGACGCTTTGGGCTTCCCACATAATATTTGCAGGGTGATGGAATTACGGATGACACAGCCGGTTCGTAGATTCTATCTTTTCACTTCTGGCCTCCGCTGATGGATGATCGATAGCTATCAAGTGTGTCGGCGTCACTCTACGTTGAACCATGATGGTAGGCTGAATATATTGACAGTGCCGCCATTTCAGCCGGTAACAGATGCGGGGGGGGATCATGCCCCTCGTCTACGTGTGTACCATCCTTCAAGTCACATTGATTTCTCATTCTGTCGCAGAATAACACCAGCCGTTGTATTTTTCCCTCGCGGGTAAGCTACTATCATGCCATGTAGACTCGACAATGCCTCATTCAAATCTGCCGTCCAAGAAAATACGTGGTTTCTGCGCCAATTATCGCCTACTACTATACACAGTACGTGTTTTGCCCTCTCATTTCATACGTTGAACTGAGATAATAGACTGATCGGGGACGCGATCTATCCACCCACGTTATTGGCTGCACCCAGCTTTGGGGGTATCGGTGTGATAGGTGGGTTAAAAGTTCAACCGATTGTATTGCGAGGCTGATCCCGACTCTCATTCAGACGCCGACCCATACATCGCTAATGGCCAGTTTTACGACAATACGAATAATTTGTAAGACACCAACGGTGCTGTCATACGAGTGATTCTCATCGCGGAGACAGTTTCCGTTCTGTGAGGAATTTTGTAATAGACCTCACCCAGTCAGTGGATGTGTTCAAATCTGGACAAATGTATTCTGATGCCGTTCAAAGGATTCCGGCCACATCGTCGGATGGAACTGGAATTCATTGGCAAGTGGCTCAGGCGACATCGTTGATGAACATTGTGATCAACATGTCAAACGCACCCGACACTGCTCATCAAGGTAAATGGTTCACAGTTTGCTGCTGCCATTCTGAACGCGTTGCAGGGCTTGTAATGGAGAACGGCAGGTAAAGAGACACAGACTCTGTCGAACTACCACTAAAGATTGCAGTGGTGGATTCATGGGGGATTTGGTGTTCAACGGAGGTACTTTGGCGTTCTATCCTTAATTACACAAGTTAATGTCTGTTGAATCGTAGGAAAAATAGGGATGTCGGTCGGAAACCAACAGTAAGTAGAAAGAATCCGCCCACATCAAATCAACTGACAGATTGTAGATTTACCGTGCGCAACGTAACCGTGAACAACGCACAAACTGGTATTTTAGCAGCTTGGAATTGGGCAAGTGAAGGATTTCGCTCCCTTGAGCACACCCAACTTACCCGTTATGCGAGGGCTGGACGTTTCAAGGAGTTACGTTCAAAAACTGCTCGGTACGTATCTTCAGTTGAAGATTTCCTTTATCGCCTTCATTGACTGCTTTTAGATCGGTTTCGACTTGTCTACCGGTGGAGGCGGACCACAGGTGATACATCGATCCTATGTTTTTGTCGCATGTTCACACACTAAAGTCAAAACCAGCCTGTTGCTGCGGAGGCAATTATTGACGTGACGGTGTCGGATACCCCTATCTTCCTCCGAACCTCCGCCAGCAGTGGTCAACTCGATGGCTCACTTGTTCTGAACAATATAAAGCTCACCAACGTTCCCACCGCCATTGGACTGTTTGGCGGCGCCGTTCTGCTTGCTGGTGGAACGACAACAATTACCTCATGGGGTCAAGGAAACATCTACACCGGATCGAATGGGACAGGCACATTCACACAGGGCTATATCGCAGCTACCGAGAAACCTGCCGCTTTACTTGACAGTGCCGGAAATATCTTCGGCAGGACTCACCCGCAGTATGCGCACTACGCTGTCAACCAGTTTGTCAGTGTCCGAGACCAAGGTGCCAAGGGAGATGGAGTCACAGACGACACCGCCGCTCTCACAGAAATTTTCGCCGCCGTATGTTCTATTTTAAATCGCTTCTTCTTTTACTCAATATCAAATTACACAATTCTCAATTTCTTCCACAGTTCGCCGGGTGTAAAATTATTTTCTTCGATGCAGGCACATACATCGTCACATCTACTCTCACCATTCCTGCGGGGACCCAAATGGTTGGAGAGGCTTGGTCGGTAATTGCAGGGAAGGGTTTAACATTCCAGGATATGAATAACCCACAGCCCGTCGTTCAAGTTGGTGCGCCAG